TTTCCCCCCCTACACCACTGCTGGTGCTGCTCCTCGTACTCGTACTCGTTGCGCTGCCGAACACAATGTTGTCCAGTCGGAATTCCCCGTGCACTATCGCCGGGCGTGTCGTGTTTTGCGCAGATGATGACGACGCGTCGGTCTCGGGTACGTGTCGTGTCAGCCAGTCCACCAGGCGGGTGACCCCCGGGGTGGGGGAGGGGACGGAGGCTGTGTATTGGTCGCCCCATCGGCGGAGTTGGCGGGAGCAGTAGCGGTCGGGGTTGCCAAATGAGGCAAGGCCCAGGGCGCCGGGGTCCTTGGAGTGGAGAGAGGCCAGAACCTGGCGGGGAGAGTGTCGTGTGTGCGTATGTGTGTGTGTATAGATAAGGGGGACGGGGAATGATGATAGTGATGGATGGGGCAGAGGAAGGTGAGGGGCAGGGCGCTTATGTGCCAAAGATAGCCTCTAGGGTTTTCCCTTTCGCGAGCTAATCTTGTCGTGAAATAAAGTGACCCACATCATTAAATTCCCAAGGCCCAACATGGATGCCGTCACACCTAGCTGACTGGCCCACCTGGACCCACCCCTCTACCTGCGCCATGTGGCGGTAGATCTCCGTGCGCTGATGCGGCGGCAGCTCTGGCAAGTTTGGATCCAAAAAAATCCGACCTTCCACGCACTCCATAAGATAGAAAGGCGTGCCGAGCGGTTTCTCGGTCTGGCATAAGTGCACCGCACGAGGGACTGGAAAGCCCGTGGGCGACAAAGCAGCCATGACAGCGTACTCGCGCTCGACCGCATGGGCCGATGCTAGGAGCTTTCCAGGTGGCTTCTTGCGCAGGACCAGACGCTGGCCGGACCAGGGCAATACCAGCATAAAGGTGGGATTGCTCTGGCCATGGTTAAACTGATGCACATCGATGCGGCCCTGGCTGGTGGGAGCACCGCGGAACAGCTCCGGAAGCTGAGCTTGCAGGTAGTCTTGCAGCGCCTTCAGATCAAGCTGATGGCCAGCGCGGACGGGTCCCAGAGACTGCAAGGTTGAAAAACGATGCGGAGGCCATTTCCAGACCTAGACACGGAGCTTGGGCTAATTCAGATGCATCTATAAGCAGAAATTGCAGCTAGATGTTGTATCTGAACCACCGCTATTGGCGAATTTCGAAAATTTTTCTTTATCATTTCCTGGCGGTTGGAAGTCGTGGCACGTCAACGAATCCTCGGTTTCTTTGTCCGAGACATCATCGTAACCACAAAGAACCGGATGGGGCATTTCAACAGTATAGGGGACATTTTATGGAACCTACAGCAAAAATGGTGCAGCCGCAAGACCGTCGCCAGGACGCCCTTGCAGCCGCAATCGGGGCCGGAATCGCCGGGAAGGACGACGAAAGCTCGACAGCAATGTTCATGGACCTCGACATCTTACATTTGACGATTGCCGCTTTGAAGGCGAGCACCCGGTGTTGCTTTGAACAGTCGCCCTCATCCCGTCGCTGTCTTTTCCCCTGGCCCCGTAGGGCACATAAAAGCATATACCCAGTCAACCTGTACGCCCGACACCCTGACCAACCCCCCAACACCATTCCCGCCTTTTCTCTTTCGTGCAGCGTGCCGCCTTTCCTCATAACACCCTCCACACGTTCGCCGTCAAGGCCAATCCCGTGAAACGTGTACTGGAGCTCATGCGAGATGCCGGACTAGGCGCTGAGGTACGACTGTGTACGACCACGGTTGCAGGTGTACGGTGTACGAAGTTCTGGGGATATACTTAGGGGAAAGTGGTGTAGAAGGGTTGGGAGGTGACGTAGCACGACGGTGCCATGTATGTATATAAGCACATATCTGTACAGCAAAGCGCGCACTTGATTTTTTACAGATGTCCCGTTTGGACGGCTGTCTGAGGGATCTTGACAGGGAGGGATCTTGACTGCTTCGTGGGAGGGCCTGCCGGGTTTTGCCCTACCCACACCTCCTTCACCGGCTTCTCTCCCCTCCCCTCCTCACCCTCCCCACCCTCCCCTCCCCTCCCCTCCTCACCCTCCCCACCCTCCCCTCCCCTCCTCCCTCACCCTCCCCACCCTCCCCTCCCCTCCTCACCCTCCCCTCCCCTCCCCTCCTCACCCTCCCCCCCTTCCGCTGCCCCCAAAGGTCGCCTCCCTAGGCGAGCTCCGGCACGCCCTGTCCTGCGGCTTCCCCCCCGACCGGGTGGTGTTTGACTCCCCCATCAAGACGGCGGCGGAGCTCAGGTTCGCACTGGAGGCGGGTAGGTGTGTATGTGTGTACGTATGTATGTACGCATGTATGTATGTATGTATGTATGTATGTATGTAATGTATGTGGTGTGGGGGGGAGATGCACGGGAAGCTGTCTGCGGCCGCAGATGAGACGGTGTGCAGTCGCGGTGGGTGCCAGGTTGGCTGGGTGTGTATGGGTGTATGGGGTGTTGGGTGTATGGGTGTATGGGGTGTTGGGTGCCTGGGGAGATGATTATGATGACGTGTGTATGAGCTTCCTCCACCTACACCGTACCTACCCCCTACCGCCCTCCTAACACACGCACGCAA